AATCCCTCTAGGACGAGGGTTCTCCAAAACAGACTCATGCTGCTAAGGATGATACTTCGGGTGAGGTAACTCCCTTCATGCGGGTGTCGTGTGTCTTTTAATATTAGCTTGCTCATACTCCTGAGAAGGTAGCCACTACTATATCGGCCTCAGATTTATCCTTCTTCAGAACTCCCTAGAGGGATAAGATGCAACTGGCTTCTGAGCTTACCCATAATATGTTCAAAGTTGCTTTTATCTTATGTCTTGTCTCTGTTGGGCGGGGAGATTTCTTGGCCCCAGGTAATTCCTCCAAAGAAAGGGATTCTTGGAAAGGGAAGGCTCACGCTATGAAATTGAGGTGCCACGCTCTTTAGAAGGAGATTTCGGCTCTGCAGAAGGATGTTAAAGCTTCCAACTCTTTGTAAGAGGTGAAGAAAATACACGACTCTCCTTTTGATATGGTTGCTCGTGTAACTAAGCTAGAAGATTCTCTCAAGTACACTGAGAAGTGATATCAGGTTACTTCTGATTCTGTTGAGGAGAATACTCACTAGGTGAAGGAGCATCAAAAAGCCTTTATTCAGGAAACTGAGGCCCGTGCATAGGCTTTGAAATCTCTCTTGGACGTGGTGGTAGGTTTGAAGTGGATGCTCTATGAATATCTTCAGTAGACCATGTAGGATGTGTTTGAATTCCGTGAGCGAGTTGTGGATAAGCGAGGAGGTTCTTCCCAGATGCTATAATTTCATCCAAGATGCTTGACCGATTCAAGTCCACTCCAGGGGTCACTCGAGAAGGTGGTCTCGGTTCCTCGACTCTAGATGTTTCGACATGATTTTCTCTTTCTTTGTATTTTTTTATTTCCTACAATTCTTCCTAGGATTTTTGTGCCTTGGGTGTAATGATATTTAATCTTTAATAGAAATATTAAACATTAATCATTAAAGTGTTATATCTTGAGGAGTCATGTGAGGTGTGTGTTTGACGCATATCAAAATTGTAGTAATGCATTCAATGTGTATCATATGCGCAGTGAGACATGGAATGTGTTTAAGTCGTGTCAGAATCGCAGACATGTGTTAAGTTTATATCGAATACACATTCATGCAAGCAATGCGCTTAAGTTGTATTAGAATCATATAAATGCGTTAAGTTTGTATCAAATACATAATTGGATATGGAATGTGTTTAAGTCGTGTCATAGATGTAAAAAATGCGTTAAATCTATATCAGATAGACATTCATGCATTTATCTTTATTTCCTATATATATATATATATATATATATATATATAATGAATTGAATTTATTACAAATAAACAACAAAACAATTAGGTAGATAAACCTTCAACGACAACTCCAACATGGACGGTTGGTGTCCGGGGTATTTAGTCATTTTCCTTTACTAGGGGTATCGGGTTGCATGCACTTCGTGCTTTAAAACTTCTTCATTGATTGCAAGATTGCAAGGACGTCAAGGTGTATCTCTTTGTATCTGCCTACCGTTGTATATTTAGATACTCGACTTCTCTTTGATCTGGTGTAACAGTCGGATGTAGTCGATGTTCTAGGGAGTCTTATCTTCTTGCCATATGTGGTGGAGTTCGAACAACCTTCCTCTTTAAGTCATTCCTTTGAGACAACAATGTCGGTCGAGAGTTTGGGAATATGGCCAACCGGTCTCCTTGCAACCATAACCCGAGGCATATCTCTTCAGAGTCTTTAATTGGTGAGCAACATTCATTATTTCTATTATGATCATGATTGTGTTAGGATGTTTATTCATCTTGATACACCACCCCAGAATAGCAGTGACGGGGTAGTTCATCATTAGGTCGTCGATGGACTCACCTATCGTCTTAGGGGAAATTAACCTAATCAATACATAAAGGACGTAGTTGAATCGGCATGCTCTACTCCAGCCTATTGACCTAGCTTAATGAGGCTATGGATGCGCACCCTAGACCTTTTGGTACTCATAGTGGGTGTCCTAGTACTTATTTTACGACTAATTGTTAACTATGAATTTGTCGTATCCTGACCACACTGCCTCGACAGGAACCCTGGTAGGGGAAAATGAGGGTGGGATTAGATCAGGAGTTGAATTATGAACCTCTGACCTAGCCTTTATGGAAATTTCCTTCAGACCTCAACATAAACCTAGATTTGGATCTCGGATCCTTCCTTTTGTTATTTTATGGAGTTCTCAAGGGAATCAGAGAATTCGATTTGATGAATCGCGGTAGAAATGATGAATAAATGAACTAACTGTGGTATATCTTCGTGTTCGCCTCTGAACGCTCTTGATTTTGAGATCTCAGAAGGTTGTGCGCGATGAAATCAGAAGGCAGTTACATATTTGCATAAAGCATATGAATCAGATGTCGATTTATTCTTGATTCAGTGACCTAAAGAGGTTACGAAATGGTAAACCGTAGATTAGATCTGAAATCATGGAAAACTTAGGTATTGGAAGTTGATTCCCGCAGACAACGCCATTGTTCCGTTTGAGAACCATAAATGGATGTAGTTGGGAAACTGAAATCTTGAACGATGGCTTCGATCACCTTCACAGTGGTGTGGGGTGGATCTGGTTGGTTAGCACTCCAACGCTCAAATCAGTTCAATATTCAAGATGAGTGTAGTGAAAAATGGAGATTAGAGGATATACTTTGCTCTTAACATGTGAACTGGTTTTATACTTTGAGTCATGTAGAGTGGATTTGAGATGGATTGGGTCTTTGATCATTTGGGTCTTTGGCCGATCCAAAATAGTATCAAAGTCTGATTTAAAATTCAATAAAATACCTGTTATCAGATTTTCGCTATTAAATCACACATCATTTATTTTCACGTTCTAAATATCTAATCCTAAATATGAAGAGATGTTAAGAGTTTTACATTTATTTAGAAATGACATATACATCTCTTTAACTATATTTCTTAACAGGTTGTGATTTGTTTATCGTATAAATCTTTTAACCAACATTAAATAAAATTAATCTAATTAAATAATAAAACCTTTAAAAATGTATTTAGAAAAATATCATTCTTTTCTGACCTTATTCATCTTAATTCCTTTTCACACATACTTTGCTGTCTTTGTTTCCTCTTGAACAAGTGTTCAACTACTTCCAAAAGTGGACAGTTGTAAAATTACGTAGCACTTTCTTTTTGTTCTAAAGATTAATGAATGAAATAAAATAAAAACGTTACAAATAGACAAATATGTGTGACTCACAAGAAAAAAGAAACTTGCCTTCTTAAGAAAAAGCTATTTTTAGATTCTTTGAATTTTTTAAGAATTAATTAATTTTTGACAAAAATTCATTATGGAACAAATCTCAACTATTAACCAACATTATCTAATCTTTAAGATCAAATAATGAGATTAAAAGTCACATTTAAATTCTTGACTTTTAATTTTCATACTTTAATGTTTTTGCTATCTTTTATACAATGAAATTTTTTAAGATAAGATTTTTTGTATTATTTGGTTGAGTGCATGTGTATATGTGGATCTTATGTTTTCAACGTTGTATGTTTGGCTACTAATCAACCAAGCATGATAAGACCTATCTTTCTCCTTACCACCCCTTATCTTATGCATACATTTTGCTTATCTACAACTTGCCATTGTAAAATCTAAGCAAAATCTAACAAGAATTTAACAATGTTAATGGAAATTATTGTTGTAATTTTATGAACATTGGTCCCATGTAAGAGTGAAGCTAGAACCTACTCTTTGTAATCCAACAAAATGGATAAGAATGTCAGTTGAAGAGATTTTTCTTGAACTTTGATTACCTCTTCAAAAAAAAAATAACATTTACTAACCCTTCTAAATTTATGATAATTTTTTTATATGAATTAGATAATCTTTATGTATATATAATTGCCTAAATTGAATTCAAAACTTGAATATCACAATTTATTTATTTTAATTGTTTAATTTCAAATTAAATAGTTTAAAGTTGATTTTTTTAATTGTATAGTGTAAACTTGTTCATATAAAACTTATTATTAGATCGTTAGTTCTTTCACGGTCGACATTAGAATATTTTTAATGAATAATTTATAAGTGCATTTTTAAATAATGTTTTGAATTTTGAAATGTACATTTATTGAAATGTGCTCTTAATTACTTGAGTCTTTAGAGTCCAGTTCACATAAATTTTATGTAATAAAAAATTTAACTTTGAGATTCTTTAAGTGTGTTTTTTTAACGATAAAATCATTTATAGATAGTTTGATGCATTTACTATCACATCACACAACTTTTTTTTTTCTGTTATTTTCATCACCATTATCTGATCCACTGAACCGATTAACCTATTTCAAGAGTTAATTCTGATATTATGAGGTTCCAGTCTCTTCCCGATTACAGTTGCGAGAATCGCACTGTAGTCCTCCCTATCAAATCCAATATCAATCATTACTTCACACAATTTTTATTTATATTTTGATTGTCTGATTTCAAATCAACGGTTGAGATTTTATTATTATTGTGTTATACAAATCCTTCAATATCTCAGAGTAATAATCAAGATTATTTAGAGGCTACATTGTTTGATTCCTAACCCTAAACCCATTGTTATCTTTTAGAATACAATTGAAGCAACAAAATGTACAAATGTTATTACTTTTAACTTAAGATAGCCACCTAAGAAACTATGGTCACAAACATTTTAAGATTCAAATGTGATGTCAAAAAATATCACCTTCACCACAATCACACATTCTATGTACTTCCAAAGAAGAGATAAGATTATGAAACCAAATCCACGTGGCATTCCCATAGTGGTCTCTAACGATAAGGCTAACATTTCAAAACTTTAAACTTTCATGTGGCCAATATCACGTAACATCATCCCATATTCAATCCAACGGTTGAAATTTTTCATCAACCAATCCTTTTCATTCCACACCATTAGATTAGTCTCATCTAAATTCCACCATTATATATAGCAACTTTGAGTTGAAGCATGAAGCAGTAGAAGCAAAAGTTGAGAAGAAAAATGGCATTGATTTCCTCCGCCGCAATCACCACCGTTAACCGGGCCTCCCCGGTACAAGCCAACATGGTTTCACCGTACACCGGTCTCAAATCGATGTCCGGTTTCCCGGTTACCAAGAAGAACAATGACATTACCTCCATTGCAAGCAATGGTTCAAGAGTCAATTGTATGCAGGTAACAAATTATTATGTCATGATACATAATTAAATTGACACAATTGTAGGAAATTTGTATTTATACACAATGTATATACTATAATTGTCATAATTAGGTAATTAAAATTGTAAATTTTGTTAACCTTTTTACTTAATTTATGTATAATATTCATAGGTGTGGCCACCAATTGGCAAGAAGAAGTTTGAGACACTTTCATACCTTCCACCTCTCACTCCTGAGCAATTGGCTAAGGAAGTAGAATACCTTCTAAGGAAGGGATGGGTTCCTTGCTTGGAATTTGAGTTGGAGGTTAATTTCATTAACTCTTGCAAACTTTTTTTATATTATTATTTTCGAGTTTAAGTCGATATTTTAGATTTTATTAAATGTTTGATCTCAATCCAAAATTTATATATATTGAGCCTATTTGATCGGCTTATTCACGTGCTTAACATATCAGTAGACATTTGGTTGTGATCAAAATTAATATTTTAGTTTGAAAAAAATATTCTATCTCGATCAAACAGCTACAGATGTGATGATTACACATGAATTCTAAAAGTCTTTCACTTAATTGTATATATTTCAAAATTGATATTTTGGTTTTTTTTTTAAATGTTCGATCTTGATCAAACAGTTACATATGTGCTGACTATATATATGTAGAGAATTTCTGACCTAATAACATGATCGGAATTCGACGATATTTTTTAGGGTTGATGTGTTTATTGTTTGGTTTGATTTGTGTTATATAGAAAGGATTTGTGTACCGTCAGTACAACAGTTCACCAGGATACTATGATGGACGTTATTGGACAATGTGGAAGCTCCCTATGTTTGGCACCACAGATGCATCTCAAGTGTTGAAGGAGCTTGAAGAATGTAAGACAGCATACCCTAGTGCATTCATCAGAATCATTGGATTCGACAATGTTCGTCAAGTGCAATGCATTAGTTTCATTGCTCACACACCAGAAACCTACTAAGTTTGATATTTGCACCACCCTTTATTACTACTTTGTTTGTATTATTTGACCATTTGTAAGAACAATATTTCCTACCATTTGTTTTTGTAATATCAATGTATCATCATCCTTTGTATTTTTTTCGTTTGTTTATGTATTCGGATTTCCTTTGGAAATTATGAATGGATGAGTACTATCATTAATAAAATATGTTGCTTTGTTTCCAAGTTTTATCTAAATTTTTCTATGGTGAATTGCAAATTTTACTATTTTGAAGTTGTTGGCAAAATTTCTGTATTGTGAATGTCTTGTGATTTTTGATATTATGATATAATCAAGTGTATTTAATCTTCACGAACTCGACTGATCTTTTCAATTATCAAGAAACTATGTGTCATATTCAATAATAATCGATAGATATATCGAAATATCACATTTATAATATGATTTTGACCTAACAATCGATAAATATGTTAAAATATCACATTTATAATATGAATTTGACCTAATAATTTCAAAGTACGTGGTTCAAATTTTATGAGAGATTTTCGAAAAACTATATAATGATTTTTCTCTTCTCCAAAACAAAAGTTTATATATGTTTGTTTCTTAAACATTCTTTTCAAAGCAATAAAACTAATTGGCATCATATTATTTTTCTTATACCATTTCTCAATCAATCAATTCATTGTAATTTATCAATATCAACTTTGAAATTGTACAAATTTATGCAGAAATGGGTATTGGATCAAGTTTGATCCTAGCTTAAAGAGTACAATTTTTTTTTAGAATTTCCATGATTCTAAGGTATATACTATAATCTTATCCTTGGGAAAAAGTTAATTTCAACACACCTTTAATTTTTGTTTGTAAGTTGTTGGTATATTGTCATGGATTCTCCATTTGATAAAGTCATTTAGCCGTTATGAGGTATGACTAATGATAGGTAGCATTAATATTTAGGGTGGACCCTTTAGATAGATACTTTTGTGAACAAGGTTACTTAAAGATAAAGAAATAGATAAGAGTTTCTTTCTCCTTTACTCACTTCCGCATCATACACTTATTCAAATATAATCTAAAAAATTAAAGCTTAATTGCACTATTCTCTTCTATATCAAGCGAATGGTTTCACCACTAAGAATTATAAGACATACAATTTATTTTAATATGTTTGGTTGCTTGAATTAATTATGTTTTTTAGAATTGATTCTTTGTAACTTTAATTTCAATTTAAATAGTTAATTATTTAACTTTAATTTTTACGATGAAATTTTTTATTCAACTCATTTTTATAAAACTTATAAATTACTTTATTTTTCAATTCGATTTTAATTTATGTAAATTTAATAGAACTTTTTCATTTAAAATTAGTTTTATTCACCATATAACCAAACATAAACTGATACGATCCAATTAGGTGAGCAAGATCTAATAGAGAATGAGAACAACTCAGTATTAGAGACTAAAGATGTAATGAAAGTAGAGAAGGATGGTTTAACAATGGACAAACGTATTATCAAAAAGCCAACGTAGATGGATGAATAATTGTGTGTGCGATGGAAATCCTTGAGTGTAATCTATTAATTTCTTTCAGTTGTTTTATTTTTTGAGTTCTCACATTCAGTTATGCTTGAGAAATGATAAGAATTCGCTCTTCTTCTTAGTTTCTTATTTCATTTCTCTTCCTTTGTTATTTAGAAGCTTTCACTCGCCCGAAGAGTGCTTCTCATTTACACTTTACACTTCCATTAAGGAATGTGTATCACGCTTTTATCATGAAAACCATCGACCTCATGAATGCTCTTCATTACAAAATTGATGTGCAAGTTGAATTGCTATGTTCCATATTCTAATCCTAATAGGAATCTCACTCCATGTTTTGATGGATCTAACTGTTGAGAAACAAGTATGAGTTCTAAGTCCCATGTTGTTTAGAAAAGTAGAGATTGAACCTTTTATAAGTGAGAGGATACATACACTTATCATCTTAAGGTTTTTGTGAATATGTGGTGTCTTTCTCACTTGTTTGAGTGAGTGTTTGACCCAATGTGAATGCTTCCCTCTAATGATGACCTATCAGTGATATCACAGTCGATGGTTCGAGTAAGGGACAATCCCTAACATGGTGTCGAGTAAGGGATTGTTCTTTCGGTACAAGTATGTGGATAAAAGAGCTTTCACTTGAGGGGGAGTATAGTGGACAGACTCACACTTGAGGGGGAGATTATTGAGAAACAAGTGTGAGTTCTAAGTCCTACAATGCTTAGAAAATTAGAGGTTGAGCATTTTATAAGTGAGAGGACTCATACACCTATCACCTTAAGATTTTTGGTGAACGTGTGGTGTCTCTCTCACTTGTTTAGGTGAGTTTTTGACTTTAGGTGAGTGTTTGACTCAATATGAATACTTTCCATGAACCATCAATAACCAACTTGATTGGACCTTCCATACTGAAACCTTATTAGATTTCCATAACACGCTAGCGAAGTCCCGACTTCAGATCGTTGCATTTCATCTTGAGGGACGCGTTGTTGTATGGTTTCAGTTAGGGGTGGCAAAATGGATGGATTGGATGGATTGGATGGATATGGATTGGATTGTTAATGGATGGATCAAAACAATCCATTAGTCAATTAACAATCCACTAAAATTTTCTTTAAATTATCTAATCCAATCCATCCGTTAAGAATAAAATCCATCCAATCAATCCGTAAATATATTTTTAATGGATGGATATTCATCCATACAACTATTTTTTATTTTGAAAAAATAAATGTATTTTTTTATTTTAAAAAAAATCGATTTTATTTTATTTTCGAAAAATTCATTTTTTTATATTTAAAAAAAAATTGTTTTTTAATATATTCATGAAAAAAATTGATATTTTAATTTTTAAAAAATATCGGTTTTTTTGGGAAAATTTGAATTTCTTGTATTTTCCAAAAAATTGATATTTTAAATTTTTTTTTTAAAAAAATCGATTTTTTTAGAAGAAAATCTGTATTTTTATTAGAAAAATCGTTATTTTTTGGAAAAGTAAAATCGAATTTTTTTTTCGAAAAAAAAAATCAGGTTTTTGTTATGGAAAAAAATGTTTTTTTTTTGAAAAAAAATCCGACCTTTTTTTCGAAAAAAATTCGGTTTTTTTTTTTAATTTCTTTTTTTTATTGGAAAAAAATCAATTCTTTTCTTTTAAAAAATCTATTTTTAGTTATTTTTTAAAAAATAAATCTAACGAAAATAAAAATAATCCATTGGTTCCTTAAAATATGTTGGATGGATTGAATTCATCCATGCATATAAATGGATGTATTTAATCCAATCCATTAACTTAACTTTTATGTGGTGGATGGATTAGATGGATTTTTTGATGGATGGATTGGATGGATTTTGCCTTAATGGATCCAATTGTCACCTCTAGTTTCAGTGGGCTACACATAACAATACGTTAACTTCATTCATGGTTGACTTGATTTACCGTTGTCTTCCTCTATTTTAGGCCAACCCAGTACGAAGATATTGAAAGAAAAAAAATCTTTCCAAAGTATCTTATAACAATTTTGTAGCATATTTTCAAACTCAAGTTGAGGATTTTATGAACAAAGTGACTTGTATTTTTGAGTGCTTACTTATCAGTATCGACATGAAGAAATATTATGGAATTCCAATCTCATCGGCCCACTACTTTGATGGAAGACTTTTGCATGGCCAGGGCCTATGAGGCCCGCTTTGATGACACACAACCCCATGAGCAAAAATTGGTCTTACAGTCCAACTAATAAACCCAAGTCTTATGGGAGAAGATGAAGATGTGCCACCACCAAAATTTGAATCCTATTATAGATGATGTTTCTGATGACATTTCCAGTCTTAATTCCCTCTTTATTCAACTATAGAGTTAATCACTGCAGATTTTGGGGCTCTACAACCACCATAGTTTCAACATTCTTTTTTCCAACTATTGCATGCCCTCGCTTCAAGGTTGCAACGTGATGTGACACATCTTATTTTTTCAATTTTGTTGCCATGGTATTTCTCTTACATTACAGGGCATTAATTTTATGGTAGCTTTATTTATCTTAGACACTGAAGGTCCAGATGTTGTGTTGGGATTCCCTTGGCTATAATCGTTGTGTAAAGTAGCACATGATTAATTATGCTCTGGCCATAGAGTTCTTTTGGCAAGGGAATCAAGTCACATCAACTGTAAGCTTTAATCCACAACAGAAACATTGATAGTATTTTCACTATCATAACTTCTCCTCAACAACCTAACCCAACCTTAAAACCATCCCTTCAATTTCCACCAAAATTACCTAACACAGTTACAACACTCTTACAAAAATTTGAGTCCATTCTTGCCACTCCAACAGGTTTGCCTCTCCACCGATTCATGGATCACTGTGTTCATCTTGTTGAGGGGTCAAATCCAGTTAATGGGAGGCTTTACTGGTACCCGTAATTTCAGAAGTCAGAGATGGAGAAGTTGATCTATAAAATGTAGGATCAAGGCATCATCGTTCCTAGCCATATTCATTTATCTTTTCTCGTGTTGTTGGTCAGAAACAAAGACAAAATGTGGCATTTTTATGGGAATTATAAGGCTTTGAACTCAATTATAGTGAAGGATAAATTTAATCCCTACAATTGATGAGCTTTTAGATGAATTTAGAGGTGCACATATTTTTACAAAATTGGACTTACGTGTTGGATACCATCAGATTCGAGTTTATCCTTATGACACTTATAAAATGGTGTTCCACAATTATGATGGCCACTTTGAATTCCTTGTCATGCCATCTAGACTTACCAATGTGTGTGCGACATCCCAAGCCACTATGAACCAGTTTTTCTTTCATATTTGAGAAGGTTTGTGATTGTTTTATTTAATGACATATTGATCTATAGTGTTTCCCTTGAAGTTCATTTACAACACTTGGAATTAGTTTTCACTTTATTGTATACCCATTGTTTCTATTTGAAGCTCTCTATTGACAGTCCATCATTACACATAATCA